AAAGACTATATAATATAAATATAATGTTTTTTTATTATTATTAAACATAAGATGCAATCGTACTATACCAAGTTTATTAAACTAATAAGAACAACAAAAATAATAATATTTAATATTATAACAGAGCTGAAATTTGCCACAATATTTGATTTTCTTCTTCTTATCCTTCGGGTTTTATAATAACAATCGGTGCAGCTCTCATTCTTAACACTTGGCATTAGAATTAATTCCCTGAGCTGCTACAACTGCAGTATGGAGTGTGCGGAGTGGCGCCCCCCTATAGCAGGGCGCAGAACTCACCGGCCCCTCACTGAAAGCTCTCCGCGTGCACGCGCACTGTTACATTGTATCACCTGGAGAATCTTCGGATTCTGGTCCATTGTGACGTCACCGGCCAGATCTGCGCAGGCGCACGGAGCTCTCCTTTCGACGTCAGCTGACTTCACAGCCCTGTGCCGCTCCTGGAACGCAGAACCCGGAAGCGCCGTGGAACGCAAAGCCAGGAAGCAGAACTCTGACACAGTCATCCCCTTCCGGTGTGATAGGACTGAAGGGGACAGAGAAAAGGGTCCCTACGGTAAGTCCCGGGCTTGTGAGGGTGATGGAGCCTCGGGGTGACAGAGAGGAGACTAATGGCTGCCTGGAGCCTTTTTGGATTATTTACATCAGAGTCATGTTCAGTCCCTTTAAGTCAGATTGTGTGTTCACTGGGCAGCTTTGACATGATTCACCTCTTATTATTATATTCCCTGAAGTTTTCGGGTTGTTCCTCCTCACTAGGCCATTGAACCGTGCAATAATTCATTCATTGCGTCATCTAAAGGGATGCCCTGCTCAGAAGCGGAAATATGTGCCTTGGAAAGGTACACGGGGAGCTCCCGCTTATCATCCGGGGGGTCGCCAGGGTGCGTTGGCCAGCCATGATGCCGAAATTTGCCTTTTGGGAACCCTGTACCTCATCGAAGCGGGTTCCCAGCCCCGCCCACTCAGCTGTTGGGTCAGCAGAGGGTCCAATGACCGTCACATCGCCAAGCCACCAACCTGAAACCCTCCGATCTCACCACATGGCCTCTACGGGGCCACCTACTTGAGTTTATCTCTTTGTCCATTCCTTGTCCATTCAGCTGAGCCTTCTTCTGTCACAAAATGGCCGACCGTTCCCGATACGGGGGGATCACCTGACCTCGTCACTAGGTGTCAACAGTGACGCATCACGGAGGGGGGTGACACCATTGTTATAGGAGGACCCAACAAAGAAGCTGATTACATGTACACAGACTCCCGGTTGCTATAGCTGGTGATGGAAATCTCTGGTGGTCACCAGAACTAGTGTCCCCATTGGAAGATTTTACCATCTGTTCATGTTCTGGTGACAACCCAGAATTTCGGGTTTTCTTTCACTCTCAGTGTTAACGGACAAATAAGTATCCCTTACAAGGGTTCTAATCCCTCTCCACTCTCCAGTCCAGTTTTGGCTGCCATTCAGGAGGACCTTCACTTCATCGAGTGTGGCCAAACACCATGCCACCCCATCAATGCACACATTTGTAATATCAGCATGCCATCGTCTGCAGTTTGACAGCGAGGCTCGTACTGGGAGCTGCTGTCAATCAACTCCGCAGAGCTGCAAGAGGGCGTGGCAGCGGGAGTCGCAGGCACACCCTGCGCCGGCATGGTGTAGTGTAACTATCTACAAGGTTGGAGGAGCTGAAGGAGAACATGGCTGGACCTGTAGCCTGACTGAAGCCATGTTTGAAATCCCCCAACGCCTTAAACCTATGTAAAGTCTGGCGTGGTGCGGGAGCAAGGAGGGAGGAGGCATGTGAAGGTCAGAATAAGGTGGTCCGGGGTGGGCTTTGAAGACACCCAAATTGGTGAGGTGATGGAGTCTCAGTTGTTGGGTGGTCATTGAATTAGCTCTTATATGAGGGGGCTTTCTGAGTGTCCTCGAGGGGGAGATGCAAGTTCAGCCTTGCAGAGGGTTACTGTCATCAATACTATTAGTATGCAGGTCAGCCCCTCCATGTTAGTCACATGTTAGTCACATGTCAGGTTTACTTTAAGGCTGGGCATCCCATTGGTCAGTGGGCGCCCATTGGCCCAGTGCAGTCACAAGGGGATGGGGAAGGGGAACAAAGCCCCATGTGTGCTCTGAGGAGGCTTTCTCTTGGTGGATACATGGAGTGGCACAATCGTAAGGGAAGGTGAGTATAACCGGGTGGAGGGACGGAATATGGGACCCAATGGGCCACCTTAAGCAGATTGGGTTAAGACCTCCTGAACAAAATAAATCCCAAACACATAAAAAAAAATAAAGATGGAGTTTATTTATTTTGGAACAAAAATTTCCAGTTACTTAGCAGTGCAGGAAAGTCCCCAACTATAAAACTCGTAAATCTCCCAAAACAGGTCATCTTCGAACTGGTCCCCACCACCAGGACCTGAGCCCAGCCTCAAGATGGAGAAGGATCGGTGTCACATGACTGAGCAAATAATTAAGCTCACCCTCAAGATACTCTACCTGCTGACCGGAGAGGTGAGGAGGATTCTGGGAGATCACATGACATCACTCTTATCTCTATTCATAAAACACAGACCTGACCGGAGAGGTGAGGAGGCTTCTGGGAGGTCACATGACATCACTCGTATCTCTATTCATAAAACACAGACCTGACCGGAGAGGTGAGGAGGCTTCTGGGAGGTCACATGACATCACTCGTATCTCTATTCATAAAACACAGACCTGACCGGAGAGGTGAGGAGGCTTCTGGGAGGTCACATGACATCACTCGTATCTCTATTCATAAAACACAGACCTGACCGGAGAGGTGAGGAGGAGTCTGGGTGGGTCACATGACACCACTCAATAAAACACAGACCTGACTGGCGTGGTGAGATCTTGACTTGTTGGAAGGAAATTTCATAGCGTTTGTCTTAATTTAGGTTTATGTACCTGAAACAAACTCCAGTGATCATGTGACAGCCAGGAGCCACCGTCTTGTCTCAGGTAGACGGAGAAGGCACCAGATCCCCACCAAGGACCCTCCGTCTCCCTCTATGATGCCTGAAAAGAACAATGACAAGATTCTAGAAGTCACCCAGAAGATCATCGAGCTGCTGACGGGAGAGGTGAGCGGTGCCGGGAATTCTGGGACATGATCCAGGAACAGACAGGGGATGTGTCTGGATGGTGACTGTATCATTGTGTGTGTCAGGTTCCTATAAGGTGTCAGGATGTCACTGTGTATTTCTCCATGAAGGAGTGGGAGTATCTAGAAGGACACAAGGATCTCTACAAGGACGTCATGATGGAGAACCATCAGACCATCACATCACCGGGTAAGAGGAGAGGGCAATACGGAGGGTCCACCTAGATCCCCCATCATCTGATACACACATAGAAACAATGTATTCAGTCAGTGTGTGTGTTTCCTACAGATGGATCCAGTAAGAGGAACCCACCAGAGAGATGTCCCCGTCCTCTGTATTCCCGGGATTCCATGGATGAAGCCCATGAGATCCCTCAGGCCCGTTCTCTGTATTCCGAGGATTCCATGGACGAAGCCCATGAGATCCCTCAAGAGGAAATCCTTATAACGGAGGATTCTGTTGAAGAAAACCACCAGTCCTTTCACAAAGCACTGCCTGAGGTAAAATATACAACATTTTTGCAAATGTGGATTGAACGATTTTCTTTCTGCTCACAAATGTTCCCAATTTTTGGCCCTGCTTCATGTTTTAATACCAAAGCCAGCCCCTAAACCCATACCTGAGGACTATTCCACCATGTGGATGATCTACTGATAAACTGTCTTACCCTAGAGTCTGGAGGTCTGCAATGCAAACCCGCTGCCTTACAAGAGGAAAGAGGCAATCTTCTATTCTTTCCATCGCCCCGGGTTGTGGGGTGGGCCCTCTGCCCCCTCGCATACACTGCAGGACAGTGTGACCTGCATTGTACTTCACACAACATCCGCCTGGTACACCCTATAGTAGAGACTTCGGGGGACCAGTCGTACTGATGGAGGGAGCCTGCCGTTGGGAGAACTGAAGTACATAGTACACTTTGTTGCTCTGCCCCAGGGGTAGGCAACCTCAGCACTCCGTGGGTGGTGAAACCCCAAATCCCAAAATGCTTCTGTCTCATGTCTGTGGCTGTCAGCCTTGCAATGCATCATGGGGTTTGTAATTCCACAGCAGCTAGAGTGCCGGGGCTTCCTATCCTTGCTCTACCCTCAACCCTGCCACAATACAGGCAATAGACACGCTTGGCCCAGGAAAAAGAGGCCGGACAATAGCTTCCGGTCACGTTAGGTACCTACAGGGTCACCCCAGAGTTGCTGGTATGGGGGTGTCAGTTGTCCTGCTGGTAAAGGAAGGAATAGCAAAAGATTGAAGGGCAGAGAAGGAGGGAAGGTAACAGGGGCAGTAGGGGATGAGGAGAGATGAGAGGGATTCCTGACTAAGAGAGGGGCCCCAATTACTGCAGTTCTATCTTAGCGGGGAAGAACCAGATGGCCTTGTTATAAGGACAGTAGGCTCTGATGGTGAGCTGTGTTGCGGAGGAGGAGCCATGCTCCATATTTTGCAAAATTGTGTAACGCTCATATCATCTAGCCGTCAGTTCCTCCTTAGGCGTAAGATATTTTATTTTCTCCCCCACTCCTTCAACATCAAAGGGGTCATAGTCCTCCAATGTCTAGGTGTGTAATGTTTTTTTCTACTGACAGCTTTATTGCTGCACAACTCAAATGTTAACTTTTGTAGACCAACCTAAGATTTGGGTGGGGATGTCTCATCGATGTATTTCATTTGATATGTCAGATCCCAATTCATGTTCTTGTCCCGTTTAGAATGAACATTCCGATATTTGGACAATTGACTCCGATCCGGGAATGGAGGAGGGAGCGATGTACCCGGGAAGTGATCCGCAGGATAAAGAGGAGGAAATAGCTAATTATATCAGCACCGGTGAGTAAGGAATGCTTGGAAGACCTCTGGCTATAAAATATGTTCTCCCAATGTAGGAGATGTCTGTTGTCCTCCGGCTCACCCACTCATTGAGGTTCTAAAAAGCGGTTTTAAGTATTTGGCTGATGTTTGATTCTGTTTTATTTCCCCCAGATGATTCCAGTGTTGCCAGTACCCCAGAGAGATGTGTCCACTCTATTTATCCCCAAGAGTACTCGCTGAATGAGACGCCCTACAAAAGACACAAAGAGGTACCATACGGCTTTGTGACATAGAAGATGGTGGTTCTCCCGAGGCCTTAAAGTGTATCTCTATCCAGAACTGTTTTGGCATGGAAGGGTTTGGCCCCATCTGAACTTTATCCGTTGGGGGAGAAACACCAATTCTGACCATTGTCACTGGTAGAGAAAGTTTTCCAATGGGAACACTAAACTAACACAAAAATAAAGATTTGGCTATAGATACACCTTCAAGGGTCAGTCTTGTTGATGCTGTTTTGGGTGGACGTTAGATCATCCAGCGCCCAGCTGCTTCTCCAGTGTCTCCACCAGTGAGATTTCTCTGCTGTGCAGTATCGTTAATCGTCCTGCATTCCCCATATAATGGAAACATCCAACAAGTAGAGAGGGTGGAGCAGGGACCACAGGAGGGGAGACCTTGACTTTGCAGTCCTTGGGGGACATCAAACTAAGTTTTAGTTGGACTGACTGGGCCATCCCCACCACTGTCTATGGGTTTCCTCCACTGGAAGTTTCATCTGACATCTAAAAGGATGGGAGGGTTTTTTTTAAACGTCCATTTTGAAAGAGAGGGTGGGTGGGCTTTGCTTTTCTGGTTGTCAACCAACCGTCTTGCCTCTGCAGATATTTTGCCGATATCTGGAGATATTGTCCTCTCCGATGGGGTGAGAAGTTTACACTTACTCCAAAGCTTCCTATTTTATACTTCAACAATGTAAATAATAACGGTGACTGGAGTTCCTTTCAACCCTTTATTCTGTGTCTGGTATCTAGGAGGAAAATCTGAACATCGTCGTCATCGATGATGAAGAGGACGAAGAGACTGAGCGGCAGTGTAAGGAGGAGGAAATCCCTACAGAGATCAGTACAGGTGAGGAATCAACGCTAAATCCAGAAAAAAGTCCCAGATTCTCCTTGTTCAGTCACTACAACAATCTCTTCTTCTCCCCCCTCCTCTGTCAGTAGACCATAATGGGGGGACGGAATGTGTCTAGTGGGGGGAGTCAGGAGCTATCAGCCTCTATTAGACTCCGGCTCTCCTCCTCACATCATGTCATTGTGTGTTACCAGCCAAGAGATGTGACCAGTCTCCCGCCCACACACACACTCTCTGGGGTCTCTCATACATCTCAGTATAGGGGGCTTCAATCTCTTCTTCTACCCCCTCCTCTGTCAGTAGACAGTAATGGGGGACGGAATGTGTCTAGTGGGGGGAGTCAGGAGCCATCAGCCTCTATTAGACTCCGGCTCTCCTCCTCCTCACGTCTGTGTTGCCATATAGAGCTGTGTATTGTCTGAGTCCCAAATTGAATTGACAGTAAGTGCCTCCTGAAGAGTGCCAAGAGCCAGGAGACCCTTTAAGCTTCTTGTCTCAGTTCCTTACATAGTTTAAGTTGCATGTCTCAGTTACTCCAACCATTTTTGGAGGGTCTCCAGCACTCCTCTGAAGAGGAGGTCCAAAATGCACACTAAGTGCATAGAGAACGAGATACACTGACATGCAGCTGGGAGAGGTTTGTTTGCAAACAAACCCAGCAATCACTATGGTTGGCTATCCATAGTGATCACATGATGGGGTACTTTGATTTCTTCCTCTACATTCTTGTCTTTTCTTTTTCTTCCCTCCAAAGATTTCGGAAATGGCGCCCATCCATCAGGTTTCCAGCGCTGTCCACCAACCAATTACCAGCTGAAACACAGCGACTTTTACCAGAGTTTCCACGCCCCGGCCAACTTCAACTCCAACGCCCACCTGTACACCTCCAACCTCGGCCTCAACCCGTATGGAAAATACCTACGAGACATGGACCCTGGGGCCAACGTGCCAGTGAGAGCCGCCATGAAGCAGCACGTGTGCAACCAGTGCGGAAAGTGCTTTGCGCACAACAGCGACCTCCTGATCCACAAGCGGCTGCACCGCGGCAAGGTGCCGTTCGTCTGCTCTGTCTGCGGCAAGTGCTTTAGCAGCAACTCCTACCTCATGGTGCACCTGAGGCTTCATGCCGGCGAGAAGCCCTTTGGCTGCCGAGAGTGCGGCAAGAGCTTCAAGAGCAACTCCCACCTGGTGACGCACCTGCGCATCCACCGCGGCGAGAAGCCATTCGTCTGTGCCGAGTGCGGCAAGAGCTTCAACGACAAGTCCAACTTCGGCCGCCACAAGCGCATACACACCGGCGAGAAGCCGTACACCTGTGACCAGTGCGGCCGGGGCTTCAACCGCAAGGCCAACCTGCTGATCCACGAGCGCACACACACGGGCGAGAAGCCGTACTGCTGCGCTGAGTGCGGCAAGCGCTACACAAGCAAGGCCGAGCTGGTCCGCCACCGAGTCTTTCATTCTGGGGGTAAGCAGTTCTCCTGCCCGGAGTGCCCGGAGAAGTTTGCCGATAAGTCTACCCTGGTCGTCCACCAAATGGCCCACCGGGGGGAGAGGCCCTACGCCTGCACCGAATGCGGCAAATGCTTTGCCACCAACTCGCAGCTGGTGACGCACGAGCGCATCCACAAGGGAGAAAAGCCCTTTGAGTGCCAGGAGTGCGGGAGAAGCTTCAATGACAAGTCCAACTTTATCCGCCACAAGAGGATCCACACGGGGGAGAAGCCGTACGCCTGCTTCCAGTGCGGCAAAGTGTTCAACCGCAAGGCCAACCTCCTTCTGCACCACCGGACTCACACGGGAGAGAAGCCATTTTGTTGCATGCAGTGCGGGAAGTGCTTTAGCAGTAACTCCGGCCTAGTCGTCCATCAAAGACTTCACACGGGTTAATGAGACCATGGACCGTTTTAGCTTTTTATCACGTATTTGCTTTCCAGGAGCAAACAAGAAGACTTGGAGGGATAAGAAATTGTCTTTCTTTTTTTTTACAGGTTTTTATATACTGCAATGTACCAGTGTGCACTGCAGGAGAGACAAACTAAGCATGTCACCTGAGACAATGGTTTTTCCCAACCTGTCATACATCCGGCTGTAGTAGTAGTGAGAGGTCCTTGAAAGGAGCATATTTATTTACACGCCTCATGCACCCCATCATTTTCACAGCAGGAGAAGCAAATGCAGAATTATTATACAGCACGTATTGATTATAGAAGGTAATAGCCTTCAACAACATGTCAGAGAGTCTGGGGAAGTCCCCTCCTTCTCCTCCTACCTGGTGCAGGGAAGTCCCCTCCTTCTCCTCACACCCGAGGCCAAGGAAGTCACCTCCTCCTTCTCACACCGAAGGACAGGGAAGTCCCCTCCTTCTCCTCACACCTGAGGCCAGCGAAACCCCCTCCTTCTCCTCACACCTGAGGCCAGGGAAGTCCCCCTCCTTCTCCTCACACCCAAGGCCAGGGAAGTCCCCTCCTTCTCACACCTGAGGCCAGGGAAGTCCCCTCCTTCTCACACCTGAGGCCAGGGAAGTCCCCTCCTTCTCACACCTGGGGCCAGGGAATTCCCCTCCTTCTCCTCACACCTGGGGCCAGGGAATTCCCCTCCTTCTCCTCACACCTGAGGCCATGGAAGTCCCCTCCTTCTTCTCACACCTGAGGCCAGGGAATTCCCCTCCTTCTCACACCTGAGGCCAAGGAAGTCCGCTCCTTCTCCTCACACCTGAGGCCAGGGAAGTCCCCTCCTTCTCCTCATACCTGAGGCCAGGGAAGTCCCCTCCTTCTCCTCACACCTGAGGCCAGGGAAGTCCCCTCCTTCTCCTCACACCTGGGGCCAGGGAATTCCCCTCCTTCTCCTCACACCTGGGGCCAGGGAAGTCCCCTCCTTCTACTCATACCTGAGGCCAAGGAAGTCCCCTTTTTCTCCTCACACCTGAGGCCAGGGAAGTCCCCTTTTTCTCCTCACACCTGAGGCCAGGGAAGTCCCCTCCTTCCCCTCACACCTGGGGCCAGGGAATTCTCACACCTGGGGCCAGGGAATTCCCCTCCTTCTCCTCACACCCAAATCCCCTCCTTCTCACACCCAACGCCAGGGAAGTCCCCCTTCTTCTCCTCACACCTGAGGCCAGGGAAGTCCCCTCCTTCTCCTCACATGTGAGGTCAGGGAATCCACTCCTTATCCTCACTCTCGAGGCAAGGGAAGTCCTTTTCCTCTCCTCACACCCCGGAGCAGGGAAGTCCCCTCCTTCTCCTCACACCTAAGGCTGATAGATTCTCCTCAGTGCCCTGCTCAGGGAATTCCTCTCCTCCCCACCTGTGAAGCCAGGAAATTCCCCACATTCTCCTTAAAGCCAAGGCCAGGGACCTCAAAGCCATGGGACTCTCCTCCTTCTCACCCCTGAAGCCAGGGTACTCCGTTTCTGCCTTCCGTTTACTGAACTGCTAAGGTACACTGTAGGAGAGCCAAACACAGAAAGAACAAGCAGTACGTACCTGAGAATTCACCATTCTCCTCACACGGTACTGACTTACGCTACAGCACTTACTTCAGAGTATGGTGTCTATTTCTGGCCCCTCCCCTTCTACCTTTCAGGAACCAAGCTTAGTAATTGGCTGGACCATTTTGTGTCTCTGAAGACATACCACCTTTAGGTCTGGTAGGATTTTTAAGGGGGAACCCCCACCGCCCCATAAATTCCTAAAAGGACCCTTGATCCGAGCACAGGCACAGCAGGCCCCCCTTTCCTGCCCTGCCAAGCCTGTGCTCTGAATGTTATGGGGGACACCACGCTTTCCCCCCCATTTTTGGGGGGTGTGGTTCCCCCTGAAAATTCCTACCAGACTTAAAGGGTCTGGTATGACTTTTGGGGGAACCCCACACATATGTCTATTCCCTGCTCTTTGTTTACATCACATGACTTTGGCAACACGTGAAAGTTACCTCACCAGCTTATACAGGCCGACGGGAACAAGAAGGGTAAGATCTATTCACCAAGTCCCTGATTCCGCTGCCCCGCCTTACGATAACACGTTTACCAGAAAGTGGAGTCACCTTTTAAACAGAAGGAATTTTTTTTTTCTGTTCGAGGGTCAGGAACTATATTTTTCTCGGCCCACACAATCTCTCGGCATGGACTTCCCAGCATACCTACATATCAACCTTACTGTGGGCAGCCATGGTGGCTGAATCCGTGTCTTCCCTCCAAGAACCACCACTGGTGGCTGAACTCCATTGAAGTATTAATGATTATATTGACCCCCCCCCACCCCCTGGATGGTGTTACTATGAAGTGTTATATATGAACTTAGCGGTTATTAAATTCTATTTACACGTATGAGCTGGATTTCTCATTCTGTAAACCAGTCAGGACCGGACTTAAGCAATTATTTAAGTATTAACTCTCATTGTCATTTCACAGGGTTATGTGTGGAGTATTGTTGGGCCCTTATTCCAATGGGCTTGGCTGAGAAAAGCTACAGAGTTTTAGCCCCCCATCCCAAACCGATACAGATGCTACCATGACAGTCTACCAGCTCCTCATAGTGCATACAGTATTTGCTAACAGAGCCCCTAGGCAAGAGGGATGGGGACAGCCTGTCTGTCCCCATCCCATCCAGCCTGTCATGTGCCTCTGCTTATTGATACTGTTATGTGCATTCAGGAGCTAGGTCTTCAGGTGGCACTACGGCCTCTTGCCAGTTTTCCCTTCCTGAGGGCTACATCTCTGTGTGCATTTTGTATCTCTGTCCCTCTCAAACTTCTAATGAGGGTGTCACTCACTCCCAGGCAGCGTGACACCATCATTTGCCTTTGTAACAGCCACAGCGGACGGACGTAACTGAATCCTTGTGGTGAGATCTCACCTCAGGAGACACAAGGAGCCAGCACGCGATCCAGTTTTACTTTCACTTTCATTTTTCTTAGTCGTGAAAGCACTGAAATTAACATTCATGTCAAGCCCCCAACCACCCACTCAACAACCCACCCACTCAACAACCCAACCACTCCCCAACCAACAACTGACTCACAACCCAACCACTCCCCAACCCACCCACTCAACAACCCACACACACCCCAAACCCAACCACTCACTCCCCAACCCAACCACTCCCCAACTCAACAACCCAACCCATCCACTCCCCAATGCACCTATTCAGATACTGGATATCTACAAGCTAACAATCTGGCATCTGGTTGGTTCCCCAACAACAATTTTACACATTTTATTGAAAACTTCCTAGAAACCGACCCGTAGTTGATGTTTAGTGGCTGTTCAAAGTCAGATTTTGGATTACAAGAACAATAAAGCTTTAAATAACACAACTCTGGCCTATTGAATTGTTAATGAATGTAATTGCTTGGACTGAATGGCTTAAAGAGTCAGTTGGGCCAAACAAAATTAACGTTATGGGCTTGTTTAATTGGGTCAAAGCAACCTCTGGCTTCTGACATCTCTAGGACTCCAGTCCTGAAAAATATCTACTTTTGAGTTCTGAGATTCCCCACTGCAATGCGGCCCTTACAAGGGGGCCAAGCATTCCTGTAGGAGGAGCGGGACTGTGCTGGTGGGAACTTAGGTTTGTGGTGGATGTAGATCATACTGTATATTTATGGTTACCAATGTTGGCTGATATCATGTTCTAAATAACTATCACCCTATGAAATTCTCTCAGCACAGGTTTTAATCTCCCTCTAATCTGGAACTAGCTGCAACGGAACATGAGCTAAACTACAACCACTCATGGTACAGCGCCAAAGACTGGCGACCACCAAAGTTGTCAGTAGAACCGTCCTGAGATATGGCTTAATTGGGGCGTGCTGCCTGGGCCAGAAACATGCTACCACTGTAGAGGTTTGTGCCAGTCATTGCTGGCCTCTGCCCTTGCTCTCTTCATTATACCAAGCGTAGGAGATGATGGAACTACTGAAGATCCTCCAGCACTGCTTTGGCACACAACCAACCAAGAATATTTCCAGAAATCAATTTATTTTTCTCCATAACAATTCTTGTCCAACTGAAAGAGAAATTTGTATAGCAAGAAGTGGTTGAAGTACCCCCATTTTTTTTACTTTAAGACCCTTTTGTTGCACGAACCCAAATCCAGGGCCTGATAAGTCCTGACACGTTATGAGTCCGTGCCCTCATCCCTTTGCTGCATCATTGTTTGATGGCACAATTCACTCAACAGCAGAAGATCCCTCAGACCCAATGTCAGAAGAAGTTGCGTTCACACTAGGAGTGCCTCAAATGCACGGTGACACCTAAAACACTTTTGGTGGTTTGAGACGAGAAGTAGCTGAACACTGAAATGGCCTTCACATGTGGCAAAATGTATTTGTCCGCTCGCTGAATTAAAAATAGTCACAGAAACCGGGTCTGAATGAGCGTTTTAGAAACATTTAATCGGGGCATGCGTCCCCTGAGTGGGTGGCCAGGTGCTTGAGAAGGAGGTCCTTACGGCTAAAACTTTGGCCGCACTCGTTGCAGCAAAACTGCTTCTCTTCTGAGTGCATGGCTTGGTGGCGCACCAGCTGCAGTCGGTCAGTAAACCGTCGCTCGCACAAGTCGCAAGAGAACGGTTTCTCTCCAGTGTGCGTCCGCTGGTGCGCGAGGAGCACAGAACGCTGGTTGAAGGACTTGCCGCAGATTGAGCAGCCGAAGGGTTTCTGCCCCGTGTGAATTCTCTGGTGCTTAGCCAGGTTTGACTTTGATGTGTAACCTTTGCCGCACTGGGGGCACACGATCAACTGCGCCCCCCTGTGGACGGCTTGGTGTGAGGCGAGGTAGTGCTTCTCTCGGAAGCGCTTGCCGCACTCGGCGCAGGAGAAGGGTTTTTCACCCGTGTGAATTTTTTGGTGCTTGGCGAGGTTGGATTTGCTGGTGAAATCCTT